ACAGTCATATTGGTTTCTTTATCCACCCATTTCTTTTCCTCCACACAGTGATTTTTTGCAATTTGTATATAGTCAGAAGTAAGTGTTTTTTAACATAATAGTAAAGTATATTTTATTTAGAGTCTCGGGCCTCTGTATGATATATCTTAACTTTCCTAACACTGAGGATACATTTCCACTTATTTTCTCACTTGAAAACCTATGGTTCCTTCTTTAGCTTCTTACTTTATATAATTACAACATTATATTTTGCTTCTTTCTTTGGTTGCTGTTATTTATTTTGCATTCCCTTAATTGTGATTGATGGCACAGAAGCTTTTTTTCTCCTTACTCTAGCTCTTTGTGTGTGTGTGAATATAGCAAGGCATTTCTTCTCAGCCTTATCTAAACTGTTTGATTAGCTGCTAATGTGCAAAATCATTAATAGTAAATTCAAACTGCTAAAATAAAGAACCAATAAATTCCAGCCCATAGGCCACAGTTCAGCCTTTTCAGCTGAGTGCTTTTTCTGAGAAGCAAACAAAAATCATCAGTGCTCCAGGCACTGTGTGAAATGTGCAGGGTATTATTATACCCGGTAAAAAGTTAAATGTGGCTGGAATAAAGACCTCTCTGCAGCATGTAATGCGGGATAGCTGCTTCAGAACACTAAATAAGAAGTTTGCTATAGCAACGGTGTTCCAGCTCTATAATCCTAGATCCCTTTGTGAACTGTTCAAGGGTTGCCTTTCTTTAAATTACAAGAATGTCTATAAACTACTTTATTTGGTAGGTTGTGTATGTGTGTGTGTGTGTGTGTGTGTGTGTGTGTGTGTGTGTTTGTGTGTGAACATTTAAGAAAAAACATCAATTTCTTTTATTATTTGCCCTATGTAATACCAGGGACCAGCTGTTAGTTCCATGAGGCTCCAACTGTCCCAAGTGAAAGGATTAGTACCAGTCAACCAATCAATTCAGTGATTTAATATCTCTTGATACTGCCAGTTTAAATATATAGACATCTGTTAAAGAGCATCACATAGATTTTAAATGAAGTGGTCAGGCCTATTGTGTTGTGGTTAATACCTTCAAAGCTATATTATTCCTAAGAATTCTAGATTTTTCTTGTTATTTATGTTACTAAATTAATATACTTAAATGGTGTTAACAAAGAGTGTCTTATATTTGAATTTTGCTTTTTTATGTTTTGTTTCCTTTGTGTTATTTTTTTCTTTGTTTTGTAAGGTGGCAGTTAAAGGAACAAATTCTCTAATCAGTGAATTCAATAATTCACCTAATAGCTCAGATCCTTAATGGATCCAGGGGAAGTGTAGTAATAATATATATAATAATCATAAAACTGTGAAAAAGCAGCTAGTCATAAGCAATGCATAAAATGTCCTTTGTACATAAAGATGACATGAGTGTAATTTGTTGTAGCAAATGAAACCTTAAAAAAAAACCCAAATTAGTTATTATTAGTTGTCACATGGTAATAAGACACTGGGAAGTATATCTTGATAATTTGAGAGAGCCGATTTTTTCTCTGGATCCAAATTTTGATTTTAAAAATCTGATTTATTTATCATTTAGTTTAGTCTTTAGTATTGTTACTTATTTTTCTTTCAGTTCTGCCATTTGCTATTTCACAATTTACCAAAAAGTAAATGAAAAAATGTGGATGATCCTCAAATTAATTAATTTTACTGTTTATTACCACTACTAGAAACTTGAAGTTTCTAGATTATGACAGTAGATGCTTACTCACAAATTGTGTTTGTGACAGCAAAACATCAATTACTTGATACGTTTTTTTCCTACATTTGTGGGCAGTGCAGAACAGTACTATTGATAAAGAATGTTTTTCACTTACCTGTGGATGACAGTAGATGCTTACTCACAAATTGTGTTTGTGACAGCAAAACATCAATTACTTGATACGTTTTTTCCCTACATTTGTGGGCAGTGCAGAACAGTACTATTGATAAAGAATGTTTTTCACTTACCTGTGAATCAGCTACAGTATTTTCTCTTGACCTGACTGGCACAAGGGCTGTGGGTCTGTGTTATTTTTCTTCCTTCCTTAACACAACTTGTTTTTGTGGAAGCCAAGCCCAACATTTCAGGTCTCTGACCCTGAGCTTACATAGCTGTCATTGAATAATTTAAGCCACAGTTTACATTTTGAAATACAGTATTTGAGTGTCTTAAGAAATAAGTTGGAGCTACTAAGAAATGCATTAAGTTACAGAAGTTCAATGTGTACTCCTAGGAGGAAAAGTCTCGTTTTTACTTTGTCCCCATCAATAAGGTATAGGAATATTTTTTCCTAAAACACTATGATCAGAGATTTAGGACTGATGGTGATATTTAAGTGAGTGACAAGACAGAACGAAGGGGCAATTATCTTACAGGAATTACTGCAACCCATTCTTGGGGAAACTATGAGCAAGTAGATATATCAGGCTTCTTGTATGGTTTGTCATTCTGCAGAGAAGAGGAGATGTGGGCTTAGATGTGCTAAGGTCTCATATACTCCAGTTTTATGAGGATATACAATAGGCAATTGGACTACCACCATTAATTATTAATGGATAGAACTTGGTAAGAATTATGAGGACTTGATAACTTTCCATATTTCTAAATCTTAGGTGGGGATGGAATGGAAAAGTGATATTCCAGTATATTCCATGCCCAAGCAAATAAACTGTAAGAATGAATGAAAATTTTAGGAAATAAGAAAGGGAAACGGAAGTCTCAATATGATAGATTTTTATCAATATCTATATCCTAGTCATGATATTGTATATAGTTTTGCAAAATGTTACCATTGAGGTAAGGTGCGTGAAGTTTACATAGAATCTCTCTGTATTATTTCTTACAACTGCATGTGAATCTACAATTTTCTTACTTAAAATTTCCGCTTCAAAAAGAGGAGAAAAGGTGTTGACTCTTAATAGTCAGGGGGAGCATAATTTTTTACATTATCTAAGTTGACATTGTGCCTTTACAAAGCACCGAAATGTTTCTGAATAATGAGGAATATAAAACTTAAACCTTTAAAAGGATCATGAATAAAGAGACTTCATCCTGTTGCACATGAATGTAAAAACTTACAGCATTCTGAGCCTTAGATGTGCTCAACTTAATTATCCAACGTTATAGTCAAATTGAGGAAAAAAGTAAAACATCTTTAATGTTTGAATCCAGTACCTTTGTTTTCTAAAGGAATAGTTATGGTGCTAAAACGATTCATATTGAAAATCGTTTTAGAAATAGAGTAATAAACTCTTAGGTGTTTCATAGTAGCAAGAAAGGTGACTTCATGTTTGTCCTTTACTAGTCTCCTATAATTTAATAATACCTTGAATATCCTCACATTGGTTTTTGTCTAGTACAATTTTACACTTTAATTTAATAATGATTCTATGAATATCTTATAAAATCTCTCAGTGATATCACTTCAATTTCATAAATTTATGTGCTTTTTTCTAGATTATGAGTGGCTTTAACTGCATATAATAACATATGTAAACAGTGTTATTTAGGTTTTAGGTTGACAAAACTGAATCAATATTTTGTGTTCAATTGAATACATCATTAATAAGAACTACTTCAGGGACTTATTGTTATTTTTCAGGAAAAATATGCCCAAAAGACTGTAATAGTCAAGAAGCTCAGATAATTGTGTGATGTATATTTTTAATGGCAAGAAAATGTAATTTAAAAATTTTTGTTTTCCTATTGGGCCTCTACATAAGTTCCAGAAAAATATCAACCAACAAATCAATGGATGCATGACAGATTTGAGTAGTCTGTCACCTTCCAAAATTGCAAATATATCTCAATAAATGTTTTATGTTATTCAGATTTTTCGTTTGCTAATATAGTTGAACAACAAAATATTAATAATTTTTTCACAGCCTTGTCTGATGCTATAAAGGAAATTCTAATTTACAGAAATATTCATTGATCATCCATTGACTTCCTCTAGCAGAAAAACATATATATATATATATATATATTTATACACACATACATACATACACATGTACATGGCTCAACTAAGTGCTGTTCAGTTCTTTGTTTTTGAAAATATAAGTTGGTCTGTTGATGCTTCATACATTTACTTCTTTACTACCTCAGTTTAGATCAGAAGACTTTATCTTTGTCATTTATCCTCATTAACATATAATTTCCCAAACAGGAATTGAAACAAGTACAATGTCTGTGATAATTGTCAATTTAAGGAAAGATATTACTAACAATTTAGATAGAAATGTATGTTTTAAAAAATATAATAATATATATGAAGGAAGGTGCTCAGTTAAAAAGCAGAAATTGTCCTACTTATTTGTTTTTAAATTATTTCATAGTTGTCCACTTTGTACTTACAGAAAAACTATTATAGGACAGTTTTATATCTCTAAGCATATTTTTGTTTCAAGAATAAATTCTGTTTTGCATTTTTGAAATATTTTTAACATTCTGTTCTATATCCTTATGTGTTTGCATGTTGTACCTATGGCAAATACAATAACAAACATAGTTTTGATCACTACTCTTCCATTATTATTATTACCATTACTGGGAAAGTTAAAATGTTATACTTTTATAATTTGAAAGCAAATATCTACTGAATTATAATATTTTGAAGAGCTTTTTAAAAATTGTAGTTGCATTAACAGTTCTTGATTAGTATCTTTCAAATCCTAATATGCGTGTGAACCAGCCAGCGGGTCTTGTGAAAGTGCAGATTCAGGCCAGGTGGATCTGAGAGTGAGTTTCCCAGCAATGCCAGCGCTGCTGCACCACCAACCACACTGAGGAGCAGGGTTCTACAGGCTGACGGTATCTGTTGTGATCCAAGGGGCTGAAACCTGGAGGACAAAGAGTGAAGTCAGATACACTGAGCTCTTCTTTTGATTCTGTATTTAGAATCTCAAGTGGGTGGTCTGCATTTTTCAAGTTCATTGGAGTTTCTGATGGGTTTATTTTTCTTTCTACTGCCTTTTGTTTAGCTCTTTTGACAGCAAGTTTATTTATCAGCAAAGAGGACTCGGACCAATTGAAGAAGACACTATTCTTGTTATAGATCCAAATAATGCTGCTGTACTCCAGTCCAGTGGAAAAAATCTGTGAGTTAAATGACTTACACTGTTATTAATGCTACATATATTGGATATAAAATGTATCACTGGGTCTTAAAAGAGTATGTTGTACCACCATCTTTCATTTTCTAAATAGGTGGTTCTGAACCTTGACTGAATATTAGAAGCACCTGAGAAGCTTCAAAAAAATAAGATTCATTTGTTTATTGGCCATTTGTATGTCTTCTTTTCAGAAATGTCTATTCAGGTCCTTGCCCATTTCAGAATTACTAAGGGTGAATTCAAATGTTCTCACCATAAAAAATGAAAAGTATTTGAGGTGATGGTTATGCTAATTGCTTGATTTAATCACGACATAGTATATATATGTATATATCTAACATCACACTGTAAATATACAACTATAATTTGAAAATTCACAATGAAAAAAATTAGATTCAGATTTAGTCTGGGTTGGGACTAATACTGTTAAAGCTACCCAGGTGATTCTAACATTTAGTCAAGCTTGAGAGAGCCACTGATATACATAGGTAATAAACCGGGTTGCTGGTCAGCTAGATATGATGATTTAAAAAATTCTTCAGCAGAAGAGTTATATAACAAAACTCATCAAGTAATCATCATTAAGAAGGAAGCCTCTCTCTTCCCATCTCAAAGTGAAGACTAAACAAATGTCATCTGTAGCTTTCCTTAGCATTTATATGTAATTTGGCTATGAAAGCTGCTAATTATTTGGTCTTATTTCTAGATGGCATTTAGCAGCCAAAAAAAGCTGGCTGATATTCATGGTCATTGAAAGAAAGGGGCACCTGTTTACAACATCTCCTCAAGCATTGTAACCTGGCAGCTTCAGGAATTATATCCTACTCCATCTGCTTAGGCAAAGGAAGGCCAGCTTCTTTTAAAGGGGGGGAGCCACTGTTCTGAATGCAGCTTCTTGTGGAGATGGTAATAATGAGGCTTAGATTTTTTTTTTTATAGGATTCTCAGATGGTGCATCAGGGGCCAAATTCTAATACCAGCTTCACCACTCTGTGTTTGAACCTGTCTCTTCCATGGTCTGCCCATTAATCAGAAGCATCCTCATTCCAAAAGGAATTAAGAGGGAAGGCAGAGCAACTGCTGCTAAGTCACCTTGGCCATGAGTGAAATGTCTGTGTTGAAGGCAGATCATAACCCTGACATTCAGTCACCAAAACAGGGATCTAGTTCAGTTAATTAATCAAGATCAAAGTGTTACAGTCTTGGTTCATGGAAAAGAAAAAAATCTGTGGAGCCAACACCACACCAAGGCTAGAAACTGGCGCATACAGCGTGAATTGTCAGATGTCATTTGACCAAAACCACCTTAGTAGAGAGTGTTGTTAATTCTGTCCAAGTTCCTTATGGCTATGGGCTCCTGTCTACATTAGCGTACAATTCTTACCCCATTGTCCAGATTGATTTGCTAAATAAATTAACCTTCTCTAGTGATTGTCCAGCTCCGACTCCACTTTACTTAAATGTTCACAGCCCATGTTTGCTGAAAGTTGTTTTCCTTGGGTTTTACTGTCTTTAGCAGGTGCTCTTAAAGCTTTCGAGTCATATATTTAATATTTCAATTAATACAACACAACATTACCTTGAAGTATATTTTAACTATTTAAACTATGTAAATTCATTTCTATTTCTCTAGACAATTTGTTTCATATATATTTCTGAGATGTTAATATTTATGGTCTTAGAACCTATTTTTAAATTGATTTGTGTTGTTTACTCTAATATGCTATATTTTATAACAAATATTTGTAACTTATTTGTAGGCTTAATTTATAAATTTTTATATGATTAAAAACAGGTCTCTACTATAACAGGTATTTTTATTTAACAATTCATTTTGGTCTGTTTTATAATAATACAAGTATACCTTTATCAATTTATATTGCCTTTATGTGTCTGTATGTATTAGAAAGAATTCTTCTCTTATATGTTTTGGGACCAAATAAATAAATTAATAATAAATAAGTAAAATTATTTTTATTTCACAGGTTTTACTTGCCACATGGCTTGAGTGTAGATAAAGATGGAAATTATTGGGTCACAGATGTGGCTCTCCACCAGGTAAGATTCCATTTGGTGGTAGTCATTTTTTTTTTAAATTAGTTAATTAATTAATTAATTTATTTATTTATTTTTATTGTAACATAGTTTATTGCACATATCTGTGGGGTACGGAGTTGAATATCAATACCTATGTGCAATATGTGATACTCATATCAGGAAAATTAGTACATTCAACATGATGCAATGTAATTGTTTCTCGTGGCCCTTTACCAATTCCTCCCTTCCTCCCCATCCACCTCCCCCTTTCCCACCTTTGGTAACCTCAGTTCTCTTAACTCCTTTTGAAAGTTCAGTGCATTATTGTGATCATTGTATCTTTCTCTCTTTCTTTTTATATTTGCTTATTTTTTAGCTGCCACTTATGAGTGTGGACATGCAGTATTCCTCTTTATGTGCCTGGTTTATTCCACTTTACATAATTTTCTCTTTACATAATTTACATAAATGGCATAATTTGATTTTTTTTATGGCTGAGTAGTATTCCATTGTGTAAATATACCACATTTTCTTTATCCACTCATCTGACAATGGACATTTAGGTTCATTCCAACCCTTGGCTATTGTAAGTAGAGTTCCAATAGACGTGGGAGTGCAGGTATGTCTTCCACATGATAATTTCCATTCCTTTGGGTATATACCCAGCAGTAGGATTGTTGGATAGTATGGCAATTCTATCTGTAGTTATATTTGAGGAACTTCTATACCATTTCCCATAATGGCTATACCAATTTACAGTCCCACCAACAGTGTAGGAGGGTTCCCCTTTCTCTGCATCCTCACCAGCAGTAGTATGGCAATTCTATCTGTAGTTATATTTGAGGAACTTCTATACCATTTCCCATAATGGCTATACCAATGTACAGTCCCACCAACAGTGTAGGAGGGTTCCCCTTTCTCTGCATCCTCACCAGCATTTGTTATTCTCTGTCTTTTTTATAATAGCCAGTCTAACTAAGGTGAGATGATATCTCAGTGTGGTTTTGATTTGCATTTTCTTGATGCTGAGTGATGTTGAGCATTTTTTCATGTGTCTGTTGGCCATTCATATATCTTCCTT